ATATTCTGAATACCAAACAAATTCCTTGCTTTTTAAAAGAAAGTGAATCTGAAACGAAATCTCTTAAGGACTTAATTAATACTTACATAACCTATGACAGAAATATATATTACATATAATAAACCGTCAAGCAATGCCTTATCGCCGACACAGTATTTTAATTTAACTACAATGTGTTTCCAGCTAAAATCACATTAAACGCGCTTCAGCTCATGAAAACGTTTCAGCTTTGAAATCAGCAAACAAAAATCTGAAAATTAAAGCAGTTTTATCAATAAACTATAAACGTTTCATTTTATAAAGAATATTAAGTTCCAGCTACTTTAATTAAATAATAAAATTAAATAAAAAACAATAGTAATAAGTAGAGCTGTTTTAGACTGAAGTAACGACTGGGGAAATCCCTGATGAGCTTTTAAAAGGACGGACGAGAAATTATAAATAAGTCTGTCGGTATGCAAAAATAATATATATGAAAATGTATATTTTCATAAGAAAACTCCTCTTATGCTAGATAACTGTAAATCTATATTAAATATATAGATTGTGATCAAACTAATGCAGATGATTCTCGACAATTTCAAGCGTGATCAATTTCAAGTCTCTTTTGGAAATTGAACTCAATGTCTTCATGTCTATAGATGCTGATCATAAATATAAATTCATCATGCTACATACACTCATGATGAAAATATTAAGAACACCCAAAAAAATTTTGTATGTATATACTTTATGGTACTGCTGCCTCTCAAATATCCTACAAGACAAATAATGTATATCCATTTTCAGAATAAATTAATAATTAATTATAATTAATACTAATTTTATTTTATTTTATTAAAATGTTAAACATAAAAATATTTCAAACTACAAAAAAAGTATTTAATTTTTTCAGCTATTCTCTATGTAAATTAAATACAGAAATTATAATATTAATCACAAAAAAAAAACACAATTTTTTTCTCATATAAACTATTTACATATTTACTAATATTTCTGAAATAAGCTTTAATTAGGAGCTTGCGAATGGCTTGCAAGCATTCTGAATGCAAGCGCCGCACAGTTTGAGAGCCACAGGCTAATCAGCTGTAGTTGTATATTCTAATTTTCTCAACTTCATCTTTCGCATGGTTCACTTATCGGCTTTATCATCTCTTCTTCTGTTGTTCTCATTGTTTTGCGTCCGAAATCCGTTACATATTTATGTGTAGATAAGCGGAACGCCAAACGCTTTGAGCTTTGATAAACACGAAAAATCGTGACAAACTGCAAATTATATTGCATTTCACATCTGTTGCGGACTTCAGTTGAATTCGGTCAGTGTGCGGCGCAACGTGCGACCCCACAGTTCGAAATATTAATTGCACAGACAAAACAAATATTCACTTACATATACATATAGAAGTCTATATAGACTTCCGCTTAAATGGTGCATAAGTCATGGAATGTGCCCAAATTGTGCACCCAGGAGTCGAGCTGCCGCCTCTGGGGCTCGGCTCGGCTCACCTACTTGCTTTGCGCCTTCGTCGCCAATGTCCTGCAGATGGGCATGCGCAATATGCTGGGTCTGATCATTCTGCGCATGGTGCCATCCCACTCCCGGGAGGCACTGCAGTCCGGCCTGAATAACATTACGATGAATTCCACCTGCGGCAGCAACAACAGAGTATGGGTGGAGCCCAGCTTGGAGGGTGCTCAGGTAAGTCTAATGGAACACTTTGTGCTGAGTGCATGCGGAATTCTCTCTGTCCCTGTCTTCTCGCACTCTCCCCTTCTCTCTGTCTCTCTCTACATAGAGATGTAGTGATTCTCCTCTTAACTTTCGCAAACGCTAACTCTCTCACTCGATGTATACTTCTCTCTCTCTCTTCTACTTATCTTTCTCTCTCTGAGTCTCTCATTTTATTTTTTTCATTCTCTCTGCCTCCGTCTCTCTCTATCTATCTCACTTCATATCTTTCCCTATTTTTCTCTCACTCTCAATATTTCCTCACCTCTCTCGCCGTTTCACCTTCTAAAGCTCGGTGATCTACAATGGAGTCGCAGTCAAGCTCTGGCCTTTCCGGGCACCTTCTACTACGGCTTCGTCTTCGCCCTACCATTGGCTGGGCATCTAACGGATCGCTTTGGAGGCAAGGTGTTGTTTATCAGCTCGTTAACTCTGCAGGCTGTTGCCTACATTTTACTGCCCTTATTAGCGTATTATAGTTATGCGGCAGCAGTCACTAGTTTGGTATTTGCCGGCATTTTCGCGGTGAGATTTGCAAGTAGATTGCATATGGTTTGATATACTCAATTTGTCATCTGTCACACTTTAGGGCTGCGGCACACCGCCCCTCTATCAGCTATTCGTGGTTTGGGCGCATCCCACGGAGCGTACGTCGATGCTCTCCTTTGCCTACAGCGGCTTGATCTTAGGCTCCATTGGCATATATCCGCTGACCACTTATCTCAGCGAGCTTGGCTGGTCCCTGCCCTTCTACGTGATCGGCTGCGTTTCCCTTGCACATGGCATCATCTGTAATTGGCTGGTTTACAATAGTGTGGAGCAGCATCCACGTATCTCGGACGCTGAGCGTGAGTATTTGCAGCAATCTGCCCAGCAGCCGCAGGTGAGTTGATGCCATAAGCCTGTCATTGATTATGATTTAATTCTCCTTAATTCCTGCAGCATTTGAGCTTACCTTGGCGTTCGCTCTTGACCTCCCTGCCCGTCCATGCGTTCATTCTAACCCATGTCTTTCACAACTACACCTTTCTGCTCTTCTCGCTCATAATGCCACGATTTATGAGTGAAGCGATGCAGCTCAACATGAAAGAGGTATATAAACTATATGTGTTTATATGTGGGGCTAATAAATACAGACAGTACAGCTTAACTAACCTATTCTAGCTTAGATATTATAGTTCAGCTATATATTATATAGTATATTAGTTCAGCTATATTTATATAGTTGATTGTAGAGCTAGAGCTCTCATTATATACATTTATCATAATGTCATAACTGACATGGAGGTTCTTGTATGACTTTTGAATATTGTTTTCTTTTGTTTTGAGTTACTTCTTATATATGACCTATATAAAAGAATCATTTGGCTGACATAGCAACACTCTACATTTTTCCTTTAATTTCGTTTTGAATAAACAGAGAATATGGCATGAATAAAAATCGGCCTACATATTAGTATTAAATAAATAATAATATTGCTGGAATAGGAATTCACATATCATATTGTATTTTTAAAATAAATTAAAACCGAATTACTAGATGATAAGACATTTGCAATTTTTTCTAAATTACTATCTAGTATTATGTTTATGAGAATATTAATTTTTAACCTACCAACATTTTTCCTCTTCTAGATTGGCTTCCTGTCGTCGGCCCCATTTTTGGGCTCGCTGCTCTCTAAGATAATTTGTGTATTGAGTTGTTCCATTATAGAGCGACGTGTGTATGCCAAGCACAGTTATATACGTCGACTTTTGTACGTCGTCTGTAAGTGCATATTGTGTATCAAGTAAATCATTAAATTTAACAACTTCACTTGAATTTATAGGCTCCATTGCAAATATGATTTTGCTACTGATCATAATTCTGGCAGGATGCGAGCAAAAGATATTCGTGTTGCTCATGTTTGTGTTATTGGGCGTTACCACAGATATGGGCTTTAGTGGCGGCTATTGGCCGACATTATTGTATTTCGCGCCATCGTTTGCTGGCATGATTTCAGGCCTGGCCAACAGTGTTGGACACATATCGGGCTTTCTGGCCTCACATGTCATAGCCACGTTGGTGAAAACTGTAAGAGTCTGAGATAGATATATATATAATCATATATAATTTCCAAGTGAAACTAATTTTTGGTCTGTTTCAGGGTATTAAGTCAGAATGGAATCATGTTTTGCTGACGTTAATTTTTTGTAATGTGTTAGCCATAATTGTATTTGGTCTGTTCGGCAGTACAAATCTTCAGCCATGGGACCCTCGAAGCCAAAAGTCAGAAACCGAAGCCAAACCCTCAAATACCACAAATGAAACTGCTAACTAACAAAGTGCCTGGATATATTGTTGTACATATTTATTAAAACCGTCCAAAGTCGTATGTTTATATAAATATAAATGTAGGTGTATTAGTTATTTTTAACTTTATCGTGTAATATATTATTATTGTCACTAACAAACTTTAAAATAGAAATAAAATTGATGTAAACAACGTCATTACATTTACAACAAGAAAACAAGTTTGACGCGTGGATCAATAAATATAAATTATTCAATTATTTCATTTTACAAAAATGATCTGATAAAAAATGTGTGCATCGACACTGTATTCTGATTGTATCAGCAGTAATTTGCTAGTTATTTATATACACACATACTCGATAAAATTACTTAGTACGTAAACATATATATGTGTACATATCTAATCACCAGATTTTCGTTTTTACTCCATTCAAATTCGACATTGCGCGCGTATTTCAATGATAAGTTAATGAGCAACCCAACCTGTAAAAACTATCGATTTGGCTGCGGTAAATCGATTGCAAATACAAATCTATCGATGTACTCTAGTAAACCCGAACAGCTGTACAAAATTAATCGTCTGTCAGTTTTTGTTTTATAAATCATTTTCGATTCGTTTGCTTGACGTTCATGGACGTGTTTCCGCACACAGCATTTGAATTGGTTTCGCAATAGAAAAATTTGCGTGTTTTCTATCTGGATGCAACAATAAATTGTCAGTGTCTCCCTTTATACTTTTGCAATACAAAATTCTCAGTGGAAGATCAACAAAAGTAGAACATAGACTTCAGTTTGGCAGCTCTTCAAGTAAAATAGCAAAGTGAGTACACTAAATAAACGAGAAAAAGTTAAGTGGCTTTAACTTTAACTTTAGGGCTAAGTTACACAAGTGCGAAAAGAAATGCGGAAACATAAGGCATAAAGCTGACATGCCAAAACGTTTCCTGTTTTTGTAATTGCAGGCTTTTAATTTTGTTTGTTTGTTGTTTAGCATTTCCGCTAGCGAATGCTTCTTGACAAATCAATAAACGCTAAAATTTTCAACGACGCGGAGCGATGACGTCTGCCCCTAGGCCATTCGATTTTATGCTACGTGCCATTTGTTGTTATACGCAACTATAACAAATCACAAAGAATATAGCACGAATGTTGATTTTTTAGTGGAATATTATAAACTTTTTCGAAACACTTGTTACCTTGAGTACGCCGTGTTGTTTCAACTGCTTGCGCTCAGAGTTGAGGGAGGTTCATTCAATCATGTGTGTGTGTGTATTTACAGGTGTGTGTGTGTGTGCGAATGCATACTTAAGTATATGTTTGAGTGTGTGTTCATATATATTTACTATATACGCAGTGATCGCTTAATATTATATCCATACATGTGTGAGTGTGCTTGTTGGGTTCACGAAGTAAATACATTTAAAATTTTTGCAATATGGCAACTGTAGCAATACTGTGCGTACGCGTGTGTGTGTGAATGCGAATGTTTGTTTCTGCTGCATATGTATGTATGTATGATTATGTGCGGGACCGCACGTTCACATCAACATAGTCTATTACGCTTACGCACACAGCTAGGTATTTGTTTGACGGCACAAAAAGTTAACTACGCCCATGAACCAAACAACGTCCATGTCCGTGCCGATCCGCATACATATGCATATGTAATATGTATGTGCTTATGTATTTATTGTCTTATTGCGTTTTGCATAAATTCACAACGACGTCATTGTCGAATTTATTTATAGTTAATTTGTGTTTTGTTTGTTCACGTCGCAAACAGGTGATAACAGCGTACCATTAAATACACACATATAGCTGATATGCAGACATACAAATTAATAATTCTTTGATACTGCTTATCAAAAATATATGTCTCTGTGTATGTGTGTGTATTTAAATATATGTGTGTGTTATATACCCCACTTGTTTATAAACAATTGCCGTTGCCCTGTTTCCCTATGTACATATGTACATACATATGTATATGTGTGCGCGCCCTTTCTTTTTTTTCTTTTCGCTAGTCTTCTCTTTTACTCTTGTGCTTTGTTTTTTTTCATTCTGTATTTGAAAATATTTTTATGCGCCGCAACGGCTGTCAAAATGCAAAAAACAAAAATAGTGAAGACACATATTGGGCAAAACAAAAGCAAAGAGAAGAGAAAAATTTTTTCGTTTATTTGCTACGCATTTATATAAACAATATTTTATTATATACGAATGTATGTAATTGTGTGTGTTTGTGTAGTTGATTATGTGACTGCATTAGTATGTAATGTTGTTTGTTTTTTGTTTTGTTTATCTCAATTAAGCGATTGGCGATGGTGTTAAACCGGTTTCTATAAGAACGACGCAACTAACAGCTTTTTGCCGGCACTAAACGAGAATACTCACAGACAGGCAGTCGAGACACACACATATGCATACTTACACAAAGTTATTGCACTCATATAAATTTACTGTACATATGTACATAGTGTATGTCTGATTAAAAGTGCGTAGAAAGGGTCTCATATGGTTAAGCAATAGTGGAAACTACTTACATACATATACAAATATGTACATATGTATATGTTCAATGAAATATTAATTTAGTGTGTACTAAATAAGCTATTGATATGTACATATATTACTATGAACCCTTATGGACTTGTTTCTGTGTATTGGCTTTTTCTGCCAATTTAATGATAAATTTTAGGCCTGTCTACTGTTATTTAAATGTTGTGGAAAAACAGAACATGTGAGATTTTTCGAATTTAGTCACTCCTCAACTACGGATTCTTTGTTTTTGTTGCATTTGTATTGAATTCTTCTAGTATTTAATTTTCTCATTTCAATTTTCTGTTCTGTCTCTCGTAATATTTCCTCCGCCTCTTCTGTATTTAAATATTGTGTTTACCGGAAAACCTCATTACAGGGTGTATATTTGTCGAGAACTTCCGATTCGCTTTTTATTGCGTTTTCAAATGTTTTTAAATTAAATTTATCGATTATCAATTACAGCACAACCATGTTGTTAAAAGTACCATCTGTTGACTGGACGGATCAAATAGTTTACGTGGTGGACGACGACGAATCACTGTCTGACTTTGACGATGAGCCAGATTTCTCAGAATATATGTGGATGGAGAACGAGGAGGAATTCGACAAGAACGTAAGAAAAAAAAAACTGCAGTAAATCATGCTCTTTATATTTAATCATGAAAAAAATCTGCAGGAGTTGCAACGTCTTGAAGAGGAAGATATCATGCAAGAGTGTTTCGAAGCCATGATCGAGGATGAGCTCGAGGAACAAATAAATGAATGGGAAAAAGCCAAGTGCGTCAAGCAAACATAGACCATATGATAACATAATAATAATAATAATATGATCGCTATCTTTGCAGAACGGAAGAACAAAATACGGCTTTATCTGCGCTACCAAAGAGTCAATGTAATATTGAGAAATCTGTGCTAAATCCCATGGCTGACGAATTCGTACCACTTTGCCATCAAATGGATTTTATAGCCTCGTAAGCGCCGGCCCCCAATAGTCTGAACTATATAACCTCTCACAGCAGCGATTTCAGATGTGCATCTGAAACGTATCATAGCAAGGATATTCCAACATCCCATGCAAGAACTCGATTACCGTTTATATATGATATTCACCTCCCTTGTCTAACCAAACATTTAAAAACAAAAAAACACACATAAAACCAGCCAATTCCAAACAGGCAACTATGTTGAAAAGTTGAAAAAAAAAGAAAAAAAAAAAACAAATATAAAACATTTGATGAAAATTACGCGCACATACACACACACGTTATCATATGTATAATAACCAACTCAACCGAAATGCAAACGAATACCATAAACATAAAAAAAATATATATATACTGAAAATCATT